GACTCATTATTGATTGAGAAATTTGAGATATGCATCGTTTTCGTGTTGATTGGATTTTAAATTTTAAATTAATAAAAATTAATTAATTAATTAATTGCGCTAAAGAACTAGAAAATGTTAATGTTCTCAAATCGACCGAACCAAACTAAACTACAATGTTAAATAGAATGGTTTCGTCTTTTCAAAACTGAAAAAATATAAATCAAACCGAGGAAAAAAAAAAGCCCCGAACTTTCAATCGAAATTCCCACCCCTAATTGTAGGTACTTTTAGTTACTATTATTACAATTCCATTAAGTAAATTTACAAGTTTATCTAGATATTATTGCATGTTCGTTAAATTACAATTGCAAGTTGATTAAGTCACTACAGCAAGTCCTTTGAAAAAAAAAAAAGAAAAAAGTCACCACTACAAGTTCATTAAGTCATATATGCTCGTCCGAAACATTATTACAAATTCATTAAATTACCAACGCATACTCATTAACCCACTATTGTTGGTACAGTAAGTCATCATAGGTCATCTATATTATTACTATATCACACGTTTATTGTAAGAATATATTGAAAAAATATATCAATATGAGTGAATTTAAAATATCTCTATGAGATATTTTTAACGATATTACTTTTATAGATTGATTTTATTTATAAAGAAAGAAATAAAGGAAAATGTATTTAAGCAATGTTTGGTTTATTATATTGGCAGCATGACTTGGGAAGCAAACCCGGGACGTCTAAACAAATAAATTAAACAATACTTTGCACTACAAATCTTCTCTAAATTGATAGATATGAAATCTTCCGTTGCCGGGAATTGAACCCGAGTCTCCTAGGTGAAAGCCAAATATCCTAACCGCTGGACAACAACGGAACACTTCCACAGATTATTTGTTGAATATCATCTATTGCAAATTATTAAATTATAATTGTATGGTTTACATTTTGAAACCATACAAACTAAGTTGCGGTGAACGTGGATCAAACACGTGACCTACAGATCTTCAGTATGACACTCTCCCAACTGAGCTATCCCCGCATCTCATAGGAACTTTACATTCTTAATAAACGAACTTTTAGCTTTTTTTAACCATAAGTTATTATGTTCCACATATTGCTTTGAATTGTCATTATTGCTTCTTCAAACTCTGAATAAAAGTTAAAACAAAGCCAGGATGATTACGTTCATGAGAAACAAACCGATTTCATTACACTACACCAAACATCTCTTGTGCATGATTCAATTATTGCCACAAGCCAAAGCCAATCATCTTTAATAACACCTCTATATTTATTATAATGTCTAATGAAAGCATAAAAAACTATGATATTTCCTTTCTTCATATCTATGTATATCACTATAACTAAATGTTTTTATATTTGGAAAATTACCCGAGTATATATACTAAGTACTAATTACTAAATTCTCAATTTTCTAAATCCCGATTTTATATTTCTATTATACACTTAGATCGGTATCATGTAATTTGAATTAAGTTTTGTGTTATGTTTGGACATTGGATTTTTAAATATGTAGTGTTGTGTTGTTGTTCGGACTCATTATTGATTGAGAAATTTGAGATATGCATCGTTTTCGTGTTGATTGGATTTTAAATGTTAAATTAATAAAAATTAATTAATAAATTAATTGCGCTAAAGAACTAGAAAATGTTAATGTTCTCAAATCGACCGAACCAAACTAAACTACAATGTTAAATAGAATGGTTTCGTCTTTTCAAAACTGAAAAAATATAAATCAAACCGAGGAAAAAAAGGACCTGAACTGTGAATCGAAAGTCCCACCCCTAATTGTAGGTTCTTTTAGTTACTATTATTACAATTCCATTAAGTAAATTTACAAGTTTATCTAGATATTATTGCATGTTTGTTAAATTACAATTGCAAGTTGATTAAGTCATATATGCTCGTCCGACACATTATTACTAGTTCATTAAATTACCAACGCATACTCATTAACCCACTATTGTTTGTACAGTAAGTCATCATAGGTCATCTATATTATTACAATATCACAGGTTTATTGTAAGAATATATTGAAAAAATATATCAATATGAGTGAATTTAAAATATCTCTATGAGATATTTTTAACGATATTACTTTTATAGATTGATTTTATTTATAAAGAAAGAAATAAAGGAAAATATATTTAAGCAATGTTTGGTTTATTATATTGGCAGCATGACTTGGGAAGCAAACCCGGGACGTCTAAACAAATACATTAAACCATACTTTGCACTACAAATCTTCTCTAAATTGATAGATATGAAATCTTCCGTTGTTGGGAATTGAACCCGAGTCTCCTAGGTGAAAGCCAGATATCCTAACTGCTGCACGACAACGAAACACTTCCACGAATCATCTGTTGAATATCATCTATTTCAAATTATTAACTTATAATTGTATGGTTTACATTTTGAAACCATACTAACTAAGTTGCGGTGAACGTGGATCAAACACGTGACCTTCAGATCTTCAGTCTGACACTCTCCCAACTGAGCTATCCCCGCATCTCATAGGAACTTTACATTCTTAATAAACGAACTTTTAGCTTTTTTTAACCATAAGTTATTATGTTCCACATATTGCTTTGAATAGTCATTATTGCTTCTTCAAACTCTGATTAAAAGTTAAAACATAGCCACGATGATTACGTTCATGAGAAACAAACCGATTTCATTACACTACACCAAACATCTCTTGTGCATGATTCAATTGTTGCCACAAGCCAAAACCAATCATCTTTAATAACACCTCTATAATTATTATAATGTCTAATGAAAGCATAAAAAACTATGACATTTCCTTTCTTCATATCTATGTATCTAACTATAACTAAATGTTTTTATATTTGGAAAATTACCCGAGTATATATACTAAGTACTAATTACTAAATTCTCAATTTTCTAAATCCCGATTTTATATTTCTATTATACACTTAGATCGGTATCATGTAATTTGAATTAAGTTTTGTGTTATGTTTGGACATTGGATTTTTAAATATGTAGTGTTGTGTTGTTGTTCGGACTCATTATTGATTGAGAAATTGGAGATATGCATCATTTTCATGTTGATTGGATTTTAAATGTTAAATTAATAAAAATTAATTAATTAATTAATTGCGCTAAAGAACTAGAAAATGTTAATGTTCTCAAATCGACCGAACCAAACTAAACTACAATGTTAAATAGAATGGTTTTGTCTTTTCAAAACTGAAAAAATATAAATCAAACCGAGGAAAAAAAAAAAGGCCCGAACTGTCAATTGAAATTCCCACCCCTAATTGTAGGTTCTTTTAGTTACTATTATTACAATTCCATTAAGTAAATTTACAAGTTTATCTAGATATTATTGCATGTTCGTTAAATTACAATTGCAAGTTGATTAAGTCACTACAGCAAGTCCTTTGAAAAAAAAAGAAGAAAAAAGTCACCACTACAAGTTCATTAAGTAATATATGCTCGTCCGAAACATTATTACAAGTTCATTAAATTACCAACGCATACTCATTAACCCACTATTGTTGGTACAGTAAGTCATCATAGGTCATCTATATTATTACTATATCACACGTTTATTGTAAGAATATATTGAAAAAATATATCAATATGAGTGAATTTAAAATATCTCTATGAGATATTTTTAACGATATTACTTTTATAGATTGATTTTATTTATAAAGAAAGAAATAAAGGAAAATGTATTTAAGCAATGTTTGGTTTATTATATTGGCAGCATGACTTGGGAAGCAAACCCGGGACGTCTAAACAAATACATACAAATACATTCACAACAAGAAAAATGCACATAGACAACGGTTAATAACCGTTGTCGTAGGGGTATAATTTCTGTTGTTGAAGCCGGTGTTGTTGTAAGTCCAGCGCATAGACAACGGTTTTTTAACCGTTGTCTTTTCTAAAAACAACAACGGTTTTTTAACCGTTGTCTATTAAGTGTTGTTGAAGCCGGTGTTGTTGTAAGTCACGCACATAGACAACGGTTAATAACCATTGTCTTTTCTAGAAACAACAACGGTTTTTTAACCGTTGTCTATTAATTGTTGTTGAAGCCGGTGTTGTTATAAGTCACGCACATAGACAACGGTTAATAATGGTTGTCTTTTCTAGAAACAACAACGGTTTTTTAACCGTTGTCTATTAAGTGTTGTTGAAGCCGGTGTTGTTGTATGTCACGCACATAGACAACGGTTAATAACCGTTGTCTTTTCTATAAACAACAACAGTTTTTTTAACCGTTGTCTATTAAGTGTTGTTGAAGCCGGTGTTGTTGTATGGCACGTACATAGACAACGGTTAATAACCGTTGTCTTTTCTAGAAACGACAATAGTTTTTTAACCGTTGTCTATTATGTGTTGTTGAAACCGGTGTTGTTAAAAGTCACGAACATAGACAACGGTTTTAAACCGTTGTCGTTTCTTCCAAAGACAACGGTTTTTGACCCGTTGTCAATTCAATGTTGTTGAAACTGGTGTTGTTAAAAGTGATGCACATAGACAACGGTTTTTAACTGTTGTCTTTTCTTTAAAAGACAACAGTTATAAACTGTTATCTATTGTGTGTTGTTGAAATCGCTGTTGTTAAAAGTCACACCCATAAACTGTTGTCTTTTTAAAAGACAATAGTTTCAAACTATTGTCTATTGTAAAACAGACAACTTTTAACCGTTGTCTCAACTCGTTTTTAACCTGCTTAAAATTTAATCATATAAAAAAAATAGAAGCATTTATTCATTCACCATGACCAAGTATAGTTACATTGCACAAGCTAAGCACGGTTCATAATAACAAGTCAAAATACTGAGCATGACTAATTCTAATCAAATCATCATCCAAGTCATAATACTACAAAAAAAAAAAAAAAAAAAAACAATTCCAATCCACGAACCAAGTCTAAATGATCACAACGTCAAATCATACCTACTCTATATAACTTGATAGAATATCGGCCCATTCTGAACGCACCAGATCAATAACCGCTTTGTCATAATCAACTTGTTGGAACTACATGTAAATAGTGAGTAAATAAATTAGTATAGATATAATAAATTTGCAAAATAATTATATGATTTTTGACAAGACCATGACAACAACAAAAAGATTAACAGATACTTAAAAAACATGCAAAATATTATTATAAGAAACAACAAACAATAATCATTGAGAGCGCCACAGGTCCCAAATAAGGGTTCTTCTGTATATGTTTACGGTCTTTATCTCCTCATATTTAACTATTGGATATGTTTACAAGATATGCCAATTGGGGAATATCTTTATCTACTTTCTTCCATTATCCTTGAATAAAAAACAGGCTACTTGTTTGCCCGTTGCCTTCTATTCTCATCTCTAAGAAAAAGGCTATAGGAACAAAATCCAATTGATAAATGTCTACCCTTTATCCAGTTTCTATAGAAAATTTTAAGGAAAGGGCTACTAAGCACAGAATTGGTTACTTTTTTCTTGTACGAGAAAGCAAATCCCACAAAAGATGAATAAATGAAGGCTTAAAGTCAAGTGTAAGGCCATAGTTTTACCCCCAAGGTTAGTAAAGCACTAAAAAACTGTTTCTCATGCACTAAAAGCAGTGTCAAAGAATAAAATTTTTGGAATTCAAAATAGAAATTTGAAGGGTGCAAATATTGTAGAACAAATAATAAGGTAATTACATAAGTAATTTTTTATAACTAATGGTGGCAAGTATTGGAAACAAACCTCCTTAATTTGCTTTAGAATGGACTCAACCTTGTCACTCACAGATGCCCGAGCTCCAGTAACTCCAACCGAGCTCACCTATAATTTGAAACAATAAACAATAAGCTTTTCTTGCAAAAAAACTTACATACATGTATCATCAAAAGTAATTATTTTCTCGTGACACTATCAAAGTAGAATAAACCAGTTTATCATAAGTATTAATGACTTAGAGCTCTATTTGAAATTAAGCAATGTTTAGATTGTTGAAATAAATATAAAAATATTTAAAATTCTGCTATAGAAGACCAAAATGACACCATAGGTAGTGCATAAAGGAGGTTAGAAAATACTCATACCTTTGCAAGGATGAGAGTTGTTAAACTTTCTTAAACTCGTCAACGATCAGATGCTTAAACTACATTTCTCAACATTTTCACCCTGCAACTTTTTCACTAGTAAGGTATGCCATTGGAAATATGGTTCAATAACGAAAGAAGTGCATCTTAGATAACTACAATTCAACTAAAGACAAAAATCACATGGAAATGCCCACCAAGACCTCGAAACCTAGAAGGTAAAATGATTAAGCAACATAACGAATTTCTGTACACTATAAGATTAAGATACAAATGTCATTAAGTATGAGGAGGTGAATTCATAAGCAATTTACCTTGCTCAATGAACACAGAGAGGCCAAAATCAGTTGCCTTCAAGGCAGCATTTTCAGCTTTATTAGACAGCAAGGTGAAGAAGCTTGAGCTCTAATAGTCGAAAGGAGGAGGATTGGTCCTGCAAGGAAGCTCAATTCAAGTCACTAGATTTATCAACTGCAATTTGACTGACTAAAAACAAGAAAGGAACAATTAAATATTACCAATAACTCTTTTAGGGTTGACTCCATGTCTTGCATATCCTTCTGTTTATCTCTGACCTTATCACCAGCCCCATGCTTATTATTACCAATGTTCACAACTGGGAAAAAAGCCCCTTTTGAAACATCTTTCTCTGCTTTCAGAATTGCCACTCTACCAAATCTGCAATTGTTTTCTATAAATCCCCTAAACAAAAGTCACCAAAAGTAAAGACAACCTACAAAGTACTTTTTCATGACAAATTAGGTGACCCTCACTTTAATAAAGACTGCAGCATAAATCACTAAATGGAAGCATTTCAGAGATAATGCCAAAAAAAAAAAAAAAAAAAAAAACAAGAAAAAGAAAAAAAAAAAGTGACAGAAAGGATCCACTGATAATTGAACAATTTGAAATCCATTCCTTCCAATAATTTTAACAAGCAGAAAAAGGATTATTAGCCAAATAATAAATGCTTTGACATGAATGATGAATCTTTTAACTCATTATTCTCCATAGATCCTAACTTGGGGGAACATTTTTTCTGCTTTTCTAGAAGTAAAACAATCTGCCAAAAGCTTAAGGAGTTCCAAATGTTCAAAATTGTTCTTGTAGCTGTTGGTGGAGAGAAAATTGAGCACTCATGAGAAATACCAAGTGACCAATGCATTATAGAAAGTACTATGTGCTGCCTTTTGTTATTAGATGTATGTTTCAGAAACTTCCTTTTCTAAACAGACACAGGTCACTGCCAAGGATAGAAGCCTCATTTGCCTATGAGAAGACAAGTAGAGTTTGATGTCATGAAAAAAAAAAGGCAATATTTGAGGAAATTGCCAAAGAGTAATGCAATGTAAAGTCAAAACTAGAACAGATCTCTGTATAGGCTACGTAAACAGACACAGGTCACTGCAAAGGTTTAATATATGAGGTTGCCTAACCATAATATATCTGTTGAGTTCAAGCATGACACATTTTAGAGTGCAGACAGTTTCACCAGCACCAAAAAACATACAGACAATAATTTTATACTCCGTATTTATCTAATATTTTGTTAAGTACAGAAAAACAAACAGAAATACAGTGTTATCTCTCAAAATAAAATGCCAAATAAATAAAAAAACAAGTTTGACAAACCAAGAGAAGTGTGTACACATACCTCATTGATATGAGTTGTAAGCCTAACACGATGACCAAACTCCTGTTAACAAACATCAGGGGAGGTAAATAAAAATGAATCAGGGAGAAATAGAGCTGCTACCTAAAAGTTGATTTTCTTTTAAAGAATTTTTTCATAAATAAACAAAAAATAAATATAATCTAATTATCTAAACAAGTAAACATAGAGAATTTTGTAGTGTATTTCAAGTAAACTGTAAACACAGAGCAAATCAATATGAATTAGAGCAAATCATAGGCAAACATTAACTGTTAACTACAAAGAGTATAATCAAACTAGCATTCTAGCAAAGTAAGGCAACACTGCCAACACAACCCCAATTCCTAATTCCTAAGCAAACTAAGTAATCCCTCAGACCACTCAGAACGTCACTGGCTCACTAGCAACACAGCCCCAATTCCCAATTCCTAAGCAAACTATGCAAAATCATCTCAAATTCATATTCATATATTATCTATTGGAAGCAATAAATTATAAAATGCAACTTCAAATAATCAAATGCAACCCAATCCAAAGTGCTGATGAACTAAATCTTAGATTTTTAGGTTTTTCTCTTTTATCCAAAATTCCAGTCTTCTAGATGAATAAGAAATTAAGAACCAATTAGGCAATCAATTAGGTTTAAAGAGACAGAGCAGCTAAGCAGATATCAATCAATCGGTCAATGGAATTCAAAACAAAGGATAAAAATCAACTATTTGCGGCAGTGGACCATACCATGAGCGCCTGAGCGGGTGAGCCTCGGCAGTCGGCAGAGGGTGCTCGCCGTAGTCTGCGCCCTACGGTGTTGGCGATTGGTAGCAGCCAGGCCCAGCAGCAATTCTTCCCTTCGCGATTGGCTTCTGCGGTCCGCCGGTATGCGCAGTGCGGTAATGGTAGTCGCGAAAAGGGCAAGAGGCGAAATGGGGGCAGCTCCCTCCGTCCATGAAGAGAAGAGAGAGTAAAGTAGTAAAGCTGTAAAAATCTGATGTACAAGAGGCGCCAAACAAAAAAAGTTTTGGTGGGAATTTAATTTTAGTAAAATATTTTTTAGATATCAATAGTGGGATTTTAGTAAAATATTTTTTAGATATCAATAGTGAGAGTAAATGTATTATTCATACTAATAATGAGAGTATAATTTTAAAATAAATATAAAAATAAAATTTCATCACTAAATCATAAACATTTAGCTAGAGTAACTCTCACAAAAGACATGGAAATGATTCATTTAGTGAGAGGTTTTTCTGTCTATCACTAATTTTTTGTCACTAAAAGTTGTTTTTCTTGTAGTGCATGTCTATTGTCGGGTATATAGGTATAGAACGGGGTAAGAATATATTAACTTTATTATCGGGGACGCTAGACCCAAAATAGTACCGGGTATATAGGTACAGAACGCAAGGTAAAAAAATAGTAGTTTTATTGCTCGGGATGTACCGCGTATATAGGTACAGAACGGGAAGTAAGAAAACAGTAGCTTTATTACCCGGGGTGCTAGGTCCAAAATAGTTCATAATTTATATACTACAGACTCAGAATTTATATAGGTATAGATTCATAATTCATATACTATAGATTCATAATTTCTATATAGTAGATTCATAAAATCTTTACTGTAGATTCATAATTTCTAAACCGTAGATTCATAATTTAAATACAGTAGATTCATAGTTTCTATACAGTAGATTCATAATTTCTACACGTATGCAGATTCATAATATCTGAATTGTAGATTCATAATTTCTGTATTGTTGATTCATCATTTCTAAATTGTACAGTTATCAAATTATGAACATATAGTATGTGTGAATACATAAGAATCGAACCCCAAGTGACTAGGTTGAGGCCGGGTAGAGACTAGAGACCACTAGACTAGGGTGCCTGTAGGCCGGGTATATTCATGGTTTTATAGGGACCGGGTCCACCATAAACCAGGCGATATAGATATATAACAGGGTAAGAAAATATTAGCTTTATTACCCGGGTCGCTAGACCCAAAATAGTACTGGGTATATAGGTACAAAACGCGAGATTCATAGATTTTTATACTGTAGATTCATAAATTCTATATTGTAGATTTATAAAATCTTTGGTGAATAATTTTATATTTAAATATGAACGAAAATAGAACTATTAAATTAACTTTTGAATTGTATTATTTCTTTGTTAAATTTTTATGCACTATATTTGGACAAAAAAATTTAATTACATTTTATTTTTTGTTCTAGATCTTCTAAACATCTATTTTCATCTCGTAACAAAAACAATGAAGGTCCAAATTCTAGGTAAAAGATAAGGTGTAACACTTTAGTAAACAAGAGTTGGTGTGGCTTGGTGGGTTTAGCTTTATTTATTATGTTAGAGGTCATGGGTTCTATCCTTCTTGGTGGCATCTTTAACCTATATTTCATACAATCATTGTTTTGGTTCTCATAGACAACACAGAACCAAACTCGTTATATCTTAGATGTTGCGCTTGAATACATAAGTGTTAGTGTGGCTTGGTGGGTTTCTTAGAGGCATTTTTAACCTATTTTATAAAATCGTTGTCTTGGTTTTCACAGACAACACAGAAACAATCCAGTTATATACAAGATGTTGCACTTTAATACATAAAAGTTTGTGTTGCTTAATTGGTTAAACCTTAATTGCTATGTTTGAGGTTAGAGGTTTGATTCTTGTTGCTAAAATCCTTGTTTATATTTTATACAACTGTTGTCTTTTATAAAATAATGATGCGCAAAGACAACGGTTATAAAATAACCGTTGTCTTTGTAGTGTTGTGTATTCAAATACGCTTAAAGACAACATACCAAAGACAACGTTAAATAAAACCGTTGTCTTAAACAAATAAAGAACGCGCAATGACAACGGTTATATAAAACCGTTGTCGTTGTAGTGTTGTGTATTCAAGTGCTATTGAAGACAACACATAAATGACAACGGTTAAATAAAACCGTTGTCTTTTATAAAATAATAATGCACAAAGACAACAGTTTTAAAAAACCGTTGTCTTTGTAGTGTTGTGTATTCTAGTGCGCTTAAAGACAACACACCAACGACAACGGTTAAATAAAACCGTTGTCTTTTAAAAAAAAAAAGAGCGCACAAAGACAACGGTTTTAAACAACCGTTGTCTTTCTAGTGTTGTGTATTCTAGTGCGCTTAAAGACAACACACCAACGACAACAGTTAAAAAAACCGTTGTCTTTTAAAAAAAAAAACGCACATAGACAACGGTTTTAAAAAATCGTTGTCGTTGTGGTGTTGTCTTATCACAAAATGCACAAAGACAACACACTTATAACAACGGTTAAGTAAAAACCGTTGTCTTTGACAAAAGTGTTGCATCAAAGACAACGGTTTTGAACCAAACTGTTGTCTTTTATACAAAAGACAACACTTTTCTTAAAAACTGTTGTCTTTGTAGTGTTGTCTATGCGCATTCTTCTCTAAACTGATAGATATTAAATCTTCCGTTGCCGGGAATTGAAACCGGGTCTCCTGGGTGAAAGCCAGATATCCTAACCGCTGGACGACAACGGAACACTTCCACGGATCATCTGTTGAATATCATCTTTTGCAAATTATTAACTTATAATTGTATGGTTTAAAATTTGAAACCATACAAACTAAGTTGCGGTGAACGTGGATCAAACACGTGACCTTCAGATCTTCAGTCTGACGCTCTCCCAACTGAGCTATCCCCGCATCTCATAGGAACTTTACATTCTTAATTAACGAACATTTAGATTTTTTTAACCATAAGTTATTCTGTTCCACATATTGCTTCGAATAGTCATTATTGCTTCTTCAAACTCTGATTAAAAGTTAAAACATAGCCACGATGATTACGTTCATGAGAAACAAACCGATTTCATTACACTACACCAAACATCTCTTGTGCATGATTCAATTGCTGCCACAAACCAAAGCCAAACATCTTTAATAACACCTCTATAATTATTATAATTATTATACACTTAGACCGGTATCATGTAATTTGAATTTAGTTTTGTGTTATGTTTGGACATTGGATTTTTAAATATGTAATGTTGTGTTGTTGTTCGGACTCATTATTGATTGAGAAATTTGAGATATGCATCGTTTTCGTGTTGATTGGATTTTAAATGTTAAATTAATAAAAATTAATTAATTAATTAATTGCGCTAAAGAACTAGAAAATGTTAATGTTCTCAAATCGACCGAACCAAACTAAACTACAATGTTAAATAGAATGGTTTCGTCTTTTCAAAACTGAAAAAATATAAATCAATCCGAGGAAAAAAAGGACCTGAACCGTCAATCGAAATTCCCACCCCTAATTGTAGGTTCTTGTAGTTACTATTACTACAATTCCATTAAGTAAATTTACAAGTTTATCTAGATATTATTGCATGTTCGTTAAATTACAATTGCAAGTTGATTAAGTCACTACAGCAAGTCCTTTGAAAAAAAAAAAAGAAAAGAAAAAAGTCACCACCACAAGTTCATTAAGTCATATATGCTCGTCCGAAACATTATTACAAGTTCATTAAATTACCAACGCATACTCATTAACCCACTATTGTTGGTACAGTAAGTCATCATAGGTCATCTATATTATTACTATATCACACGTTTATTGTAAGAATATATTGAAAAAATATATCAATATGAGTGAATTTAAAATATCTCTATGAGATATTTTTAACGATATTACTTTTATAGATTGATTTTATTTATAAAGAAAGAAATAAAGGAAAATGTATTTAAGCAATGTTTGGTTTATTATATTGGCACCCGGGACGTCTAAACAAATACATTAAACTATACTTTGGGTGAAAACCAGATATCTGTTGAAAATCATCTATTGCAAATTATTAACTTATAATTGTATGGTTTACATTTTGAAACCATACAAACTAAGTTGTGGTGAAGGTGGATTGAACACGTGACCTTCAAATCTTCAGTCTAACGATCTCCCAACTGAGCTATCCCCGCATCTCATAAGAACTTCACATTCTTAATAAACGAACTTTTAGCTTTTTTAACCATAAGTTATTCTGTTCCACATATTGCTTCGAATATTCATTATTGCGTCTTCAAACTCTGATTAAAAGTTCAAACATAGCCACGATGATTACGTTCATCAGAAACAAACCGATTTCATTACACTACACCAAACATCTCTTGTGCATGATTCAATTGTTGCCACAAGCCAAAACCAATCATCTTTAATAACACCTCTATAATTATTATAAAGTCTAATGTAAGCATAAAAAACTATGACATTTCCTCTCTTCATATCTATGTATCTAACTATAACTAAATGTTTTTATATTTGGAAAATTACCCGAGTATATTTACTAATTACTAATTACTAAATTCTCAATTTTCTAAATCCCGATTTTATATTTCTATTATACACTTAGATCGGTATCATGTAATTTGAATTAAGTTTTGTGTTATGTTTGGACATTGGATTTTTAAATATGTAGTGTTGTGTTGTTGTTCGGACTCATTATTGATTGAGAAATTTGAGATATGTATCGTTTTCGTGTTGATTGGATTTTAAATGTTAAATAAATAATAATTAATTAATTAATTAATTGCGCTAAAGAACTAGAGAATGTTAACGTTCTCAAATCGACCGAACCAAACTAAACTACAATGTTAAATAGAATGGTTTTGTCTTTTCAAAACTGAAAAAATATAAATCAGACCGAGGAAAAAAAGGACCTGAACTGTCAATCGAAATTCCCACCCCTAATTGTAGGTTCTTTTAGTTACTATTATTACAATTCCATTAAGTACATTTACAAGTTTATCTAGATATTATTGCATGTTCGTTAAATTACAATTGCAAGTTGATTAAGTCACTACAGCAAGTCCTTTGAAAAAAAAAATACAAAAGAAAAAAGTCACCACCACAAGTTCATTAAGTCATATATGCTCGTCCGAAACATTATTACAATTTCATTAAATTACCAACGCATACTCATTAACCCACTATTGTAGGTACAATAAGTCATCATAGGTTATCAATATTATTACTATATCACACGTTTATTGTAAGAATATATTGAAGAAATATATCAATATGAGTGAATTTAAAATATCTCTATGAGATATTTTTAACGATATTACTTTTATAGATTGATTTTATTTATAAAGAAAGAAATAAAGGAAAATGTATTTAAGCAATGTTTGGTTTATTATATTGGCAACATGATTTGGGAAGCAAACCCGAGACGTCTAAACAAATACATTAAACCATACTTTGCACTACAAATCTTCTCTAAATTGATAGACATGAAATCTTCCGTTCCCGGGAATTAAACCCGGGTCTCCTGGGTGAAAACCAGATATCCTAACCGCTGGACGACAACGGAACACTTCCACAGATCATCTGTTGAAAATCATCTATTGCAAATTATTAACTTATAATTGTATGGTTTACATTTTGAAACCATACAAACTAAGTTGCGGTGAACGTGGATCGAACACGTGATCTTCAGATCTTCAGTCTGACACTCTCCCAACTGAGTTATCCCCTGTTGGTCCCGAAAGGGTGGCGAGAAGTGTAGAGGGGGGGGGGGGGGGTGAATAGACTTCTCTAACTTTTTCAACTTCTTTTGCAAACAACACTTTGGTAACTTCAACTCTAAGTAATAAGCATAAACAAGTATAACAACTTAGAGTGTGCACAGCGGAAAATGTAACGGCAAAGTGTTATGCTTTAATTGTGTAGTGCTCAAAGAGAGATTCTATACATGCATCACGTTAGAAACACTTAATATAGATGTAGGATGATGTATATAAAATTTTACTTGCATGCAAACGAGGTTACTATCAAACCCAGAGACAGATAAAAATACGCAATAAACCGTAACGGGTTAGTTCACAGATAATATAAGCATGCACGAAATATATATGAGGAGTAAGTATATAGTGAGAGAGATTTATAGTGGTTCAGAGGTGGTGTAATCCTCCTAGTCCACTCTTCTCCTTTCACTTCCAGGAGGAAATTCACTATTCTTCGATCACCCAGATACAATAGTGAATAAGTGCCCAACGGCACTTCTCTGAGTGCTTCGCACAAAGCTACAATCCACCAAGGTTTTTCGCAAGCTCCTCTTGTTACTCCGCCTTCCCGAGTACTTCGCGCCAAGCTGTACTCCTACACCACGAGAACTACGCACAAAGCTACGCTCTCACCGGGTTTTCACAAGCTCCTCTTGTTACTCTACCCTTTACAACCGAGTGCTACGCACAAAGCTACACTCCAACTGGGTTTTTCACTCTCTCCAGTTACTCTACCCCTTTTCTACACTCAGTAGAAGATTTACAATGAAATAATTTGCTCTCACTCAGACTTGAATTTAATCGTGTATAGCTCAATATATTGCTTCTTGGCTGATTTGAATATTGCTTGCTTTTCACTTTGTTTTTCAGCCGTATTCAAGTTGTTCCTGTCTTCAAGTCTGCTTGGGCGTTTTATAGCCAAAGAAAGCTATTTGCCCGTTGATCAACTTTTGATCTTGATCGTCCAATTTGAATTGTAGTTGATCAAATAATTATGCCAACTTGGTCTGCAAAAATCATTTCGCCGTCTGTCAAAAGATTTTGAGAAATCTTGCCGTCGCTCTCCTTTAATCTGACAAAGCTTTTCTTTGGAATGGGTAGCCTCCAAATTTGAATTTCTTTGGCATGACTTTTGTTGAATTATTGATCTGATGTGCCAAGTTGATCAAATAATTTATCTGCTGATTCTTGCTTGAGTATTAAAAAGATTTCCTTCGTATATCAGCTTCTTCTTCTCCTTCGACTTCTTCTGCAGAAACAGAGCTTCAAAAGAATGTTTCTGTCTAATTCTATCATGCTTGTATCATGGACTATATATATCATGTTCCATTTCATATCATGGACCTGATATCATGTTCCATTTTATATCATGGACCAGATATCACATTCCGTTGTATATCATGGACCAATATCATGTTTTCATAGAATTGCTTCGAGTGGGAATTGAACTGTGAACCATTTGCTTTAATTGGCAAGGTTTCTTCCATCTCGACTAGGTAACCAATTGATACAATCCAAGACTTAAATTCTTTTGTCTTGTCTCTTCCACGTGTTCTCCACTGGCCATACCACACTGTGACGTCATCACCCGATAGTAGTGACATCATCCTCCGATAATTTTAACTATCATGATATAAAATTGTTCTTTCATGATAGTATTACTTGGAATTACTATCATGATATTTCTTTGTGACATCATCTCCTGATATTGCTACTTCACGATAACAATTCATCTTTACACCAAAATTACTTCCAATAAGAATCAAACTGTGGATCAACTCACATTAGGCATACTTCAACAAGTCTTCTACCATCTTGTCCATCTCAACCTTTGGTGACTTGATGCTTCATAAATGTGTTAAGCTATGATCCCGCTTTCATTTATTCTTCCTTCAAACTGCTTTCACGTAGACTTCATGTAGGCTTCATGGCAGTGGTGCACTATACTTTGTGAACCAGAACTAACTTAAATAAAATAAAATTTGGGTCTACAAAATACATTTGGCTTATCAAAACTTATACAATATATTCCTAACAATTTCCCCTTTTTTGATGATGCCGAAACTTATACCCAAGTCATTTGGCTATGTCAATTTTGAAAAATAATCTTTTTGTCCAATTTTATTGCGACTAGCCATT